TTCCATCAATTATGGCAAGTTGTCCAGGTCCTGAAGCTGCAAAGCAGCCCCAGATCATCACACTACCACCACCACCATGTTTGACTGTTGGTATGAAGTTCTTTTTATGAAATGCACACCTTCCAAAAAGTTCAACTTTTGTCTCATCAGTCCACAGAATATTTGCCCAAAAGTCTTGGGGATATTCAAGATATATTTTGGCAAATGTGAGACGAGCCTTTGTGTTCTTTTTGGTCAGCAGTGGCTTTTGCCTTGGAACTCTCCCATGGATGCCGTTTTTGCCCAGTCTCTTTCTCATTGTTGAATCATGAACACTGACCTTAATTGAGGCAAGTGAGGCCTGCAGTTCTTTAGATGTTGTTCTGGGTTCTTTTATGACCTCCTGGATGAGTCGTCTTTGCGCTCTTGGAGTAATTTTGGTCGGCCGGCCACTCCTGGGAAGGTTCACCACTTTTCAAAGTTTTCTCCATTTGTGGATAATGGCTCTGACTATGGTTCGCTGGAGTCCCAAAGCCTTAGAAATGGCTTTATAACCCTTTCCAGACTGATACATGTCAACTGTATTGTTTCTCATCTGTTCTTGAATTTCTTTAGATCGCGGCATGATGTGTTGCTCTTTAAGCATGCTTCACTTTGTCAGACAGATTCTATTGAAGTGATTTCTTGATTCAACAGGTCTGGCAGTAATCAGCCCTGGGTTTGGTTAGTGAAATTTAACTCAGCTTTCTAAAATAATGTGGTTGATCACAGTTCTTTCAAGATTTAACAGGAGGGGGCAATTAATTTTTCACGTAGGGCCAGGTAGGTTTGGACAGCTTTTTTCCCTTAATAAATGAAATCATCAACTGCATTTTGTATTTACTTGCATTATATTTGTGTAATATTAAAATCTGTTTGATGATCTGAATCTTTTAAGTGTGACAAATATGCAAAAAATAAAAAACCAGGAAGGGGGCAAAAACATTTTCACGCCACTGTACTTTCATTTGTAATAATATTACACAATATTACAGTTTCACTATACTTTTTGGTCAAATAAATGCAGCCTTGGTGAGCATAAGAGGCTTCTTTCAAAAACAAAAAAAATCATACAAAGCCCAAAGTTTTGAGCCGTAGAAGTAAAATTACAGAAGAAAATATTTTTCATTTTCAGTATTTGTACACGTACCTTCCATATTCTGTTTTAGTTTCATCTTCTCTTCAGAGTTGTCGTTATTTTCGATCATCTGGATGGGCAGAAAACATTATATTTAAGTGAACTTTAAAAACACTTTATGAGTTTTTTTTTTTTTTTTGGAACTACAGTCAACGATCCTAAAGGTTTTAAAATTTCTGTTAGAATTTGGAGCTAATACAATGTGATTTCAATGGGATCACATAAGGATAATCTAAGCATCAAATAAAATCCTTCTGGACAAATAAAAGTGTCATATAATTTTTTCAGGATTTTAGTTTATCCAGTAGGATCTTGATTCTTATTCATCCCATTAGGATTCTTTAGGACTGGTTCTAAATATATACTATCAAATTCCAATTTTAGCCCTGTCCGCATTACGTTAACTAAAATTCAGCACATTTATAAATAAATCATTAAAATCGGGTTTTGTCTCAGAGGCCACTAACATTAACATCCTGGGTGGTGTGATCTGCCTCTACAGCTTGCAGTCGGTTCTCACTGACTCTCAGCTTCTCTTGCAGTGAGAGGATCTCTGCTCGGCTCTGAGCTTCAGCCTTCTGCAGGGCCTCATAATCTACCATCTTCTTCTCAGCCAGCTCCAGCTGCTCTTTGAGAAGTTGGGTGGCCTTTTCATGCTCTTCATGGGACTTATCCAACACGCTGGTCCTCAACTCAGCCTTTTGAAGCTTCTCTGAGACCTCTTTGAGCTCCAAAGTATGCTGGTTGCTCTTGGCTTCCACCTGGATCTTCCAGTTCTCCTCATTCTCCTCTAGCTGATCCCGTAATTCCTGAAGTCGAGCACGTAGATCTTCACGCTCTTTGGCCATTACGGCAGCATCGATCTCATGTTTGGCCTTCAGGTTCTCTAACTCCAGCTGCTGCTCCATCTTTAAGCTCTCCAGAGCTGCTCTCATCTCAGGTGTGGTTCCTTCACCCTCTCCTCCGCTGTTCTCACTAGACCCACGATCTCCTGTTAGCGAGGCTTTCAGTTCCTCTAGAGCACGTTGATGGTCTCCAACCAAAACGTCAAGTTTGGCTTTCCAGCTGTCCATCATTTCCATGTTTTCACGAGTGGCCTGCTGAAGTCTCTGCTTCAGGTCGGAGATCTCTTGGCCCTGACGTTCTGTTGTGGCTTTAAGGCGTTCAACTTCTTTCTGGCTGCTGCTCAAGCATGCTTCGTACCTCTCTCGCAACTGGCTGCTCTCTTCACGGCGTTCACGGCCTGCAGAGAGAAGCTGTTCCCGCAAAACCAGAGTCTCCGAGTTTATGTCTGGTCCGCTGTCTCCAGCGTCTGTGCCTGGACCGAAGGAAACTCTCTGAAGCCGAGCCTGGAGCTCCTTGACCTCAGCCTTGCGCAATGCCAATTCTTCTTCCAGCTGCATGACACGACTCTTCTCCTCAACTGTAGTTTGCTAGAGGACAGAAAGAGGGTCAGAAATCCTGCATCTTTCATCTTTTATATGCCAAAACCTCCAGTCTGCTCAGGGGCAACCCTCAAAGGATTTAGTAATTTCTTCAACGAGACCTTTGAACTCAGTCTTTGGATTAAATTAGAGATTTAAAAAAGAACAAACTAATGGACATCTAGTGGAAAAAGCTCATTATTAAATGTGGTGAAAATAATGATACAGACAATTAAACTAGGGATGCACACCGAGAACCATATTGGTAGCGGCCAATATTGTTTAATTCTGTAGAGGTCCTAAAACAATTAAGAAAATACCATTTTAGGACCATTATTTTATGTGACATTATTTTGATGACACCTAAACAAAACTAAACAATACACAACTGTCATATAAAAAGGTAATTCTGTAAGGTATTCTCATTAAAATGTAAAATACTTCCATGACGCACACTTACAAATGAACTTTACAAATTAAATTTTTTTTACAATTAATTTTGTATGTACCATTTAAAATGTTTTAAATTGTACAATTTAATTGATTGTACAATTTAAATCCAATAAAATGTTATTATTTTTGCATTATAGTAAGGAAATTTTACAGAAGACTACTGAGAATTATTATTATTATTATCATCATCATCATTATTATACTTATTATATATATTTTTTCAATTAAAATATATTTGATATATATAAATGTACTTTACAATCAGAATGATTAATAAAATTCTATTATTTTTGCATTATTGTAGATTGTAGAGATATTTTAAACTACAGTACACTAGTGAAAACAGCGGTTTATAATAATAATAATAATAATAATAATAATAATAATAATAATAATAATAATAATAATAATAATAATAATAATAATAATAATAATAATAATAATAATAATAATAATAATAATAATAATAATAATAATAATAATAATAATAATAATAATAATAATAATAATAATAATAATAATAATCCATTCTCCAAAAAGAGTATTTTTTCCAATTAAAAAAAGAGTTCTAGCACATTGTTTTAAAAAACAGCCATCATATTGTCTGTCTGTAAAAACAGTTTATATATTATTATATAAATACGTTTATATATTGTGCATCCCCCAAATAAACATTTTAATGTTGTTGATGATCGGTATGAAATATCTTGGAGAGTTGCCCACTAGAACTAGCAACCTGATGGCAATACAGTCATAAGGAGCAAACAAAGCATTTGCTTGCCCTGCAAACATTTCAGTGAATGGCCATTTCTTGAAAAATGGCTCTTGCATGTGCAAAAAAGCAGATATAGTGCAACCTATGAAACTACACCAGCATTCCTGTTGAATTCAAGCCCAAGCAAGCCTTTCTCAGTCTGACCATCTAGAAGCAGCCAGGCAAATATGAGATGGAACGGTGCAGTCCAAAGGAACACAGGCAATCACTACTAGGATTCAAACTACGTTTAAAGAAAAAATATCCAAAGATGTTTTTCATTTCACAGAGCAAACAAATATTAGTGTTAGTCATTGTGGAGTCATCTGCAAATTTGACAGTTTAAAGAAAAGAGGTTATCAGAAATCAGATATTACTACAAGAGTTCATAGATGCAGTCTCAAACCACAAGAGAGAAGGGAGAAGAGCACACATCTAAATATAATATTCATGTTTAAAGTAGAACATCACTCTGAAAACCACACAGCGTGTTACTCCCTTTATATCACCTTGACACTCTTGCCCAGCCTCATGGGTGTTGGCTGGAGCCTGCCTCTGACCTGTTGATAAATGTGAAATCCTGTTGATTAGAGTGCCTGGACTGTGCTGCCTTCATTCACCATTATTTACAATGACAGCCAAATCTACACTTTTAAATGTACCCAAGTAAATGTGAGGCCCTGTTTATGCCTGATATCAAAGGATTACTTCACTTCCAGAATAAAAATTTCCTGATAATATACTCACCCCCATGTCATCCAAGATGCTCATGTCCTTCTTTCTTCAGTCAAAAAGAAATAAGGTTTTTGAGGAAAACATTCCAGGGAAGACTTCAATGGGGATCAACGGGTTGAAGGTCCAATTTGCAGTTTCAATGCAGCTTCAAAGGGCTCTACACGATCCCAGTCGAGGAATAAGGGACTTATCTAGCAAAACCATCAGCAATTTTTTTTTTTAAATACAAATTTATATACTTTTTAACCACAAATGCTCACTGGTCCCCGTTGAAGTGAATTATATAGAGAAAAATCCTGGAATGTTTTCCTCAAAAACCTTAATTTCTTTTCGACTGAAGAAAGAAAGGCATGAGCATCTTGGATGACACGGGGGTTAATAAACTATCAGTACATTTTTATCCTGGAGTAAACTAATCCTTTAAGATGCGTTTTGGTCGATCGGAACACAAGTTGACCATAGAGACACATTCCAGGTTACACCTGCTGTTTTAATCCAACTCTTCAGTCCACTTTCAACCACTTTCCTGATTGCTTTGAAGGGAGGGTCTATGGGCGGGTGTATGTATGGGCTTATTCCTGATTTTTTTTTATCTAATATTGCAAAATAAGCTAATATTGCAAAGGGAGACCATGAAAAACTATTCCAGAGAGCAGTAGCTTTAATTTTTGCTCTGACAGCTGCAAAACTACACCAAATGCTGTGGATATGTGTTAGAATCAGGACTGGTAAGACGATATTGGCATTTTTTCACCTTTATACCAAACTTACGATTTCAGACGGCAAAGTTTAAATCCTGTCTGGCTAGCCCGTTTCAACATTACGTCCCATAATGTTTAAGAATTAGAGGAGGCAGGCTTTAGTGGAGTTTTCAAGTACCTCTGGAAGTGGTCAAAAGTGTTCAAACTTTTCAGACCCTTTTTACACCTGTATTTTGTTGTTCACTTGTGATTGCATCGATTAAAACCCTTAATACCAGGTGTATACTGGCCTGAGTGGTGTTTGTCTATGCAAAACCACAATGCTAGAATTTTGGTGGTTGTCAGAGTGGTGCTAGTTGGTTGATAGGACATTGCTAGGCGCTTGCTAGGGTGTTCATGGTGGTTACTAGGGTGTTGGTCGTTCTGGTTGTATGCAAAGGCATTGTTAGTCAGTTACTAGTGTGCTAAGGATGTTTTAGCTAGGGTGATATGGGTGGTTGCTAGATTGCTAGGTATTTAGAGGGGTCATTAGCGCATTAATAGACGTTAGGGTGGTTTGGATGGTCATTTAGGAATTGCTAAGGCAGCTGCTAGGGTCTTGGTGGACATTAGGGCAATGCTTGGGTTTTCTGGGTAGTCACTAGGCATTGCTTGATAGGGTTTTCTGGTTAGAAGCTAGTGTGTTGCAAGACCGTTTTGATGGTTAAGTCGTATTTATGGTGTTCCGGGTGGTCACTAGGGTGTTTTTAAGGTGTCTGTGGTGGTCATTATGGCAGTACTTGGGTTTTCTGTATAGACACTAGGCTAAGTGATTGCTAGTGTTTCAAAGAAAACAAAAATAACGACTTTATTCAACAATTTCTTCTCTTCCGTGCCAGTCTTCAACGCATGTTCATGACATTCGACTGACATGGAAGAGATAAAAAAATTGTTAAATAAAGTCATTATTTTTGTTTCCTTTGCACACAAAAACTATTCTTGTAGCTTCATAAAATTAAGGTTGAACCACTAATGTCACATGGACTATTTTAACGATGTCCTTACTACCTTTCTGGGCCTTGAACATGTCAGTTGTGTTGCGGTCTATGCAGGGTCAGAAAGCTCTTGGATTTCATCAAAAATATCTTAATTTGTGTTCTAAAGATGAATGAAGGTCTTATGGGTTTGGAACGACATGAGGGTGAGAAATTAATGTCAGAATTTTCATTTTTGGATGAACTTTCAATTTAAGTACAACAATTTTGGGCAGAAGAGGAATAATATGCATGACCAATAATAACTGTAATGCCTTAGCAACTACCTCTAATTATAGAAAAATAAGGGCTACAAATACAGCGTAGATGTGTCAGAAGGGGTTTGTATCACAACTCTTTCAAAGGTTGGAGGCTGTATTTCAGTAGGCAGCATCTTCTTCAGGCAGATGCTTAGTGAACAAGAGAAGACAGACATGAAAAAATATTTTGCAAATTAAAGGTGAAAGCAGTTCCTGGCTATCAGGAGCAATGCTGCCCCACAGAGACAGGCAAAGATCTCCAACACTCATGAATTTGGGGTTTCACAGCAATGCAATTTCTGATCAGAGCTGGAGTAAATTCCAATTAAATGGAATAATCAACATTCTAAACGCAAAAAAAATGGGTGTGATTAAAATAAGCCTAAAATATCTGATCTTTTCTGATCAACTAGCTTAGTTAAAAAAAAAAAAAATAAATAGTGGCATTACACATATCTGATCAGTTGCACTAGTTACAAACGTCAAATGATGGAGATCCCAGTCCTGGTCAATCAAGCACAAGCAGTGGCAACCCACAGACAAGGGCTCTAACAAAGGGACAGAAACATGGCAATGGGAGAGATGGCTACAGGCTGGGGGGTTTCATCTCCCAGCATGTTTACCATCTTTTCCTCTAACTCTTTCTGAAGTCGCTCTGCTTTGGACTTTTCCAAATGCAGACACTGCTCGAGCTGCCGAATACGGGCATGCTCCAGTTTGGTCTGAGTCTACAGAGAGAAAGAGAGGGGGGAAATGGAAAGACACGAGAGAAAGAGAAAAATAGACATAGCACAGAAAAAGATGAACAGGTCTTAGCTATTCACCAATCATAATACCAAAGTGTGAAGACATTTAAAAGGCAAGACAGAGTATGCTTTCACATTCGGCATGACAGTTTTGGGCTGGATAAACAGAGACATATTTGATACATTTACATACATTTAAACAGATCTTAGTCAGAACAGACATTATATTAAGTGTTTGTGGACTGAAGATGTTTGTAAAGACATTCTAAATTAACAAATTCTATCAGTCAGTGATGGCATAAGGAGCCATAAGGAGAACATAAGTTTTCTTCTGTTATCTTCACAGAAATTCTCAAAACTGAAAAAGAGTACACATCATCTCCAAGTAAAGTTGTAAAAATATAGTGAAGTAGTAAAAAAGGCAGATACCTCCAGGTCTCCTTTGGTAATGGACTCTTCCTCAACTCTGAACTGAAGATCTTCCACCTTCCTGTCATAACAAATAATGACCACCAGGTGTCAGGGAATTCCTCATTTACTTTTTTGTTTGTTTCTTTGGTAGATAGACAGCAGATTTGGACTTTATACTGACGCCTATTGACAAGTGTTTAATTATCAAATATAATTGTAGAAATACACTATTTCCAGGTGTATTGTCATTCATGGCTGTGAAATATCCATGACTGTTTTTTGTGAAGAGTAGGTTAAGATGTACCAGTGGATGTCTCTGTTAATCGAGCAAATGATACACAATTATATATACTGCTGGCTGTGATTAAGAGAATGTGAACATTTTTGTGCTACAATACATTAAATTAAACTTTCTACATGGCAGGTGAATTACCAAATTATAAAATCATGTATTTACTTTTTTGTTTGTTTCTTTGGTAGACAGCAGATTTGGACTTTATACTGACGCCTATTGGCATGAATGCAGGATCACATAAAACAAGTGTTTAATTATCAAATATAATTGTAGAAATACACTATTTCCAGGTGTATTGTCATTCATGGCTGTGAAATATCCATGACTGTTTTTTGTGAAGAGTAGGTTAAGATGTACCAGTGGATGTCTCTGTTAATCGAGCAAATGATACACAATTATATATACTGCTGGCTGTGATTAAGAGAATGTGAACATTTTTGTGCTACAATACATTAAATTAAACTTTCTACATGGCAGGTGAATTACCAAATTATAAAATCATGTAAATAATTTATGGCCCATTTTTAGATTAGAATTGTCCTAGAATTAGCTTTTTTCCTAAATCTGTGTGGTGACTGCAGGAAATATTATGAAAACCAATCACTCTGAATATTAATTTAGGGAATTTTGATTTCTCAGTTCATGACCCCTTTAATATTTATTTTAAACATAGTATAGGTATTCTCATTGATCCAACTCATCCCTCATTGAATCACTCCATAGCTCTTTCTATGGGCCTATGATATAGACCAGTGTTTTTAGCCTTTTTCACTCAAAGGCATCCCCCATTGAGAACTACTGATGAATATGCCTTCTAATTTTATAGGGTAACATACATCCTGAAATGTCTGTTATTACTCCTCGTCTAGGGGACAACTTAAGAAGTGTCCCAGCTACCCCACTCTCTTCAATAAGCACCTTACTTATGTTTTTTAATTAAAACTTTTAAATTAAAAAGGAAATATTTAGTGCACCCTTAACTCAAGTACCAAGACAAAAACAACTAAACTGAACTACAGTAAATGTTAGGATACTATTGTACAATATATGTGAGGCTAGAATGTACAAGCAAAACTGTACCTTCTCTCTTCCTCAAGCTGATTGGTCAGTTCCATTCTGTCTTTCTGTGTGCTTGCCAGCAGGGCTCGGACTTGCTGTAGGTTGCTCTCTGCCTCTGTTGCATACTGAAAGAGATATGAGAAAAGGTCATTGTTCTTCAGAAATTCATTTGAATGCAGTGTTAAATGGAGAGTGTAAGTTTATATTTGTGAGTAACTGTAGTAAATGAATTGCACATATAAGTGTTGTGTTTATATGTGTGAGTCACACCTGCAGATGTCGGGCCTTCAGTGCCGTCAGCTCTTTTTCCACCTCGCAGATATGGCTGGTTGCCTTGGCGACCTCGGCCCGCTCCAGGTCTCTCTCAGCCAGGAGCTGCTCTATGTGCTGCTGTTTCTCCTTCAGGGCTTCCTGCAGAGCCGTGGTCCCCGAGATCTTCCGCGCGTACCTCGAGGACGTCTCTGTCAACTGCCAGAAATGAAGGAAAAAACTCACTGAGTGAAATGAAATTCAAATTCGAACAAGGATTTGACGATGAATTATTAAATGGTTCTTATCAAGCGTTTAAAGTGATGAAGTGATAAAACACATCATGACCCCTTTAAAGGTGGCATATCATGAAAATCATGTTTAAGTGTTATAATAGGGTCTCCGGTAGGGATGCGCCGATCCGATATTCATATCGGGTATCGGCTCCGATAGTACCATTTTTCTCGGTATCGGTCAGAGAGGGCGAATTATTCTGTGTTACTTCTGAAGCCATACGATAGCTTAATATGAGCTACATATGAATATTTAAGTCCTTACATTAAAATTCACACAAACTCTTTTCTCCGCTGTGGCTGTCAGTCATTCGTTCAGCCTTTAAACCCTGCTCGCGTTCGGTTACAAAAGTCAGCTCAGTAAAGCTCTCTCCAAGATCATTCTGTGTTCCCATTATACTTGATTTGTAAATACATGTCTATGATTTTGCAAAAAGGACTTTACCTTCTTGCCGGAGTTTAATGTTGTTTTGTTACTTGCTACCGGGTGTCTGTGAGAACAAAACACGGGCGTAGAAAAGACTATAAATTGTTTTTAACGTGCACAGTAACTGAAATTTAAAACTTGTAAAAGAAAGGCTCAATAACTTTGCACTTTGCACTTTTTAACACGAAGCGCTTACAATGTGCGCATCCGGTGTGCAGA